GGGCGAGGGGTGCGGAGGGTGGCGGGACGGGACGGGATGTGGCGTCTCAGGTACTGGTGGCGTGTCCGCTGTGGGGAGCAAGGAGGAAAGGAGCATCGTAAATTAACCACTGAAATACTCGGAACGCTGTCCTGGCCTCGCTAGGATGGAGTTAATTTTCTTCTCAGCAGCCAGAAAGCGCCGCGGTGTCCGTGTGGTGTTTGTTACCAGAAGGAGGTTCGTAATGTACAAGGACGTGGTGTCTGGGCAGCCTGCGAGTGCAGTGGGCTGGGAGGGGGGAAGCACAGTAATTAGCAAAACCTAACACTGGTATTTGGGTATGCTAATGAGACATTCTATATCATATTATATTAAGGAGGGTTGACCAAAAAGCTGGGGGATCCTCTCAGGAATCACTCGGGCTCGCTCTTTTGAGATGGCAGTTTTGGGTTCGGGGTTCCTTTTCACTCCTCGGGATTGCTATCAGCGGGTAGTGAGCAATTGCACTGTGCATCATTGTCCTGATGTTTCCTCTCATGGTACTGTGGGAGAATAACTGCAGGGGCAGCCCAGCCTGAGACCGTTTTTAGCGTAAATACTAAGGACCAGATTCTCCATTGTCCAGAACCCTTCAAAATTAATCTGTTCATAGTGGTGCTACTAGTGTGCATGTTCTTCATTTGTGAATAATTTATACTGATTTCTTTGGCTAAGCATTAATTACTTCTTATTATGAAACACTCCCTGCAAATCCTTGAAGATGCAGTAGAATACTTTCTTCCTCCTTGTCCTCATAGACTGAAAATCTGAAGAAGATAAACCATGAGCTAAGGCAACATGTCATACAATTTCTTGATGGGAAGCAAGCAGTGGAAAGTCAAGTAGATAGGTTCACCTGTAAAAATTATCATCTAGGTAAAGAAATGGCTGTAATTGGCAAACTATCTGAGCAGCTGGAAAAAGAATTGCTATTGAATACTGCTGATAAGGAGCTTGAGGAAGCAAAGGTATCTACTTATTAGAATTAATATTGCACAATGATATTTTAATGTTGGTTGCTAATATTATGGGGAACTGGTTGGGTTGGGTTTTGGTTTGGTTTGGTGGGTTTTGTTTTTGTTTTGTTGGGTTTTTTTGAACCTTTTGGGCTGAATTTCTAGCTTTCATCTGTGCTTTGATGTATATTTCTGGGATGAAGGAGGAGTAGGTTCTGGCCAGTGTGGTATTCTTGAAGTGTAGAATAGCTCAAGCATTAAAATAATGCTTGCAGTTGGAAAGAATGTAATGTCAGTGAAAACTGCTTTTGATTTCACAGGATAATAGAAAATTGCATTACATGCATGTGCAATTACATGATTTAGTAGTAGTGGTCAGATGGGAAAAAGCATATTCTTTGTCTGCAGTCAGTGTAACTACATACTTACTTTTCCAGCCCATAGCTGTAGTTAAACTGTCCCTGTTTTCAAAAGTTTCTCGGTAAGACAGTTCTGGGAAAAGGTATCCCTTTTTCATTCACTCATCTGAAAGTAACTCAACTGTTACTGTTTTTCCTAATCCTGGACTGCATATGAAGATAAAACTTTTAACTGATTCCCTTCTAGATTAAGTTTATTGTTACTAAATTATGTTTTCAGCCTAGTCAAGCTAGAAAACGTGTACAAAATGCTCCTTTGGACTAGAACAAGTGAGCTACTGTGCTGGATTTGCAGTAATGATGGTACAAAGTCAATGCATCTCTTCCTCTAGGTTTGGTGGGTTTTTTTTTAATAGTAGATTCAAATTCAATGTCAGCAGAACAAAATAAAGAAACTGGAACACACAGTCAAAACACTAAAATCTGTGAGTTAAATATGTATCCTTAATATATATGTATCTATGAAATCATGAGGTTTCCATGTGAAATGAATACTTGGACAAGTGAATTTCACTTGCTTTGTTTTCACTGATAACAGTCAAGTTATAGAATGGGTAAACTGATCTGTTTTCATTTGTAGTTATCTGTCTCTAGGTGGATGGGATTCTGTTTCTGTTTTACAACTACCCTGTAATGATTTTGAGAATCTTGATTTTTTTTTTTTTTTTTAAACAAAATTCCATATAACTTTTCAATACTTTGTAAATAGCTTGCAAAACAGAATGAAGTAACGTATTTTTCTTTAAAATTTTGATCTTAATATTCTGTCTTTCTTAAGGTGTAATGACACTGTTGGAATATTTTGAAATGTATACAATGTTGTAATTGTAGAAATATTTGCCAGTGGTAAATAACTTACATTAACACTTGAATTTATTAAGTGGACTTATTCACTTGTTTCCAGTATAAATTGGTAGGGAATTTTTTTATGTGTTCAAGGTAATAATTTATTACTGTAAGTTAAAGATTTGTTTCAAATTTCAGGGGAGTGGGCAGGGTTGGGTTTTTTTTGTTCCTGTATAAAATATTTGAGCTTATGCCACAATCCTGCAAAGAACTTGCTCTGGAAAATAAAACCACTTTGACTACGCAGAGCTTACTGCTCAATTACCCTGGAAAGATTTTGATCCTTCAGCCAGAAAACTTGGCATTTGAGAGCTAGATTCACCGAGAGATTTAAGTGATTAATACCTAACTTTTCAGTGATTTAAAGACAGATATCTGCATGTGTCTTAACAAAAATAATAAATTTGCAGAGTTTAGTATTCCTAGGTGCTTAAACTTTCATGAGTACAGGTACTTTGAACATCTAGATTGCAACGGTGAGGGATTTGGTGTGAAATTTTGAACTTTGGAATTACAATTCATCTTCAAAATCTGTTTTAGGCCCCTATATAACTTCCTGGTGTTTTGCTTAATATTTTGCTGATTAACGGGGGCTGACAAAAAGGACATCGACACCAACCAAAAGAGTAAGCTCCTTTTACTGATTATCTTAAAATAATACAGAAAGGAAATAATGCAGTGGGCAATCAGAATAAGCTAAGCATGTTGCTAAGCAACAACACAAAGTTAGGTGATGCATCTCGTCATGACTTTATAAAGTTAGCAGTAGTGATTAGGAAATAAATCAACATCACTAATTGCCCCAATACTTATCATTGTCCGCATCCTGTTCATCAGCTGGGGAGCCCTGTCACAGCGAAGGATTTGGAGAACCTCCCCTCAGCAACTGGGAAGTCCTGTGTGGTGCGTCCGCCCACAGATGAGGTTTCCATCTTTGCTGTGAGAGGGTCCTGCTTTTATGCAATCTAACAAACAAGTTATGCAGACAGAAAGGCGCGGTGGTAACAGCTGGTGGGTGAATTTTGCTTCACACGGGCACATCCCGGGTTTGGCCAGGATCCGAGATACGTATGAGAAGCTGCTATTTTGGTGTTCCGCACCTGGCTTTGAATTGTAGGGGTAAAAGTCTCACAGTCTTATTTCATGCTGATGTGATACAGGCTGGGAAAAGGATCTCACAGTCACATTTCATGCCACTGTAGTACAGGTTGGGAAGTTCACTCAAAAGTCAACTTTAAGGCTTATGATTTAAACCTTTGTATATCACCTGGATTTTAACTATACTTATTTGCACACTACTTTATTTCCACTTCAAAAATTCGCTTTTCATGAATGTCTAGCAAACATAGTGGCCTAATTTCTTTCATATTTAAAAATTCATTAGATATTCCAATACAAATCTACTTAATTGTCCTCCTTAGTTTTGAACAGATATATTCCAAGTTAATTAACATTTAGCTTTTATGTTCTTTTCTGTCCTGTTAGATCCATTTTAGAAGGACATTCAGACATATTCTGCAATATAACAAAAAAGAGAAAATACAGACATTCAGAAGTTGCTTTAAAGTATTAAATGGAGATTTATTTTAATTAGATATCTGCTTCATCTTCATTTTGAAGACTATGTTTATCCATTTTACACTGAATAATCATTCATTACAAATATTCTGTTTCAGTGAATGAATTATCTAATTTTTGTACATGCAGGTTGTTTTACAAACAGAAGCTGAAATAAAGCAAAGCAAGTCACCTTCAAGGCTTGATACCTTTATTAAGACATTAGAAGAGGACAGAGACTGAGAATTTGCTGACGGTATTTAGAAACGCATTTTCAAGTCCTAAGTGAATCTCTACTGGTGGCAGCATGTCAAAAAATTTTTCATCCATCCAGGTGAGCTCGGGAAAACACTTCACAAGTGTAGGAATGCACTTTTTAAAAATGTTGGTTTATCTTACGCTAAACTACCACAGCCATAATTAACAGGAAGAAAAACTAATTTATCATACACAGAAAGATAAGAATGAGACAATAATATGAATTTACCTGCCACTTTACACTGCATGTGCGTATATCACTTTAAATGGTTACTGACAACTGCTTTAAGTAATTGTTAACATGATTATCAGTACCATTTGTGATAGACGTTTGCTGCTCAAAGTAATGTATTTCAGTGTATTTAGTGTATTTTAGAAAACGGCATGTATAGCTGGTCTTTCATACTGAGAAATATATATGTACAGTCTTGACTGTCTAGAGGTTACTAGATTGAAGTCTTATTAAATCGTTTATAGAAATTTCCAAACCAGATATAATAAGAAAGCATATCAAGTTTTGTTTCTCTACTTTAACTTTTTATATCACCTTATTCTTTAAGGGAGTGAGTTCAAATTCAGAAGTTTTGAAAATATTGAGAGAATGTGACGAACTTAAGTCAACGCTGAAAAATTATGAGCGCCTTGTGGCAGAAATTCGGGGTAACTTCAAAGTTTTAACAGCTGAGAGAGACAAAATTGCCAGCCTTTATGAGAGGGTAATTTTATTTATATTTCTATGATTAATTAAAATAACTTAAGGTGATGTGCAAGAAAAAAGTCCTATTTTTGGTTTTGTGTTTAAAAAAAGAGAAAAAAAAAATCCAAACCGTTTGTTTAAAAAATAGAAAAAAAGTCAGAGTTTTGAATCTGTGAGTTAAATACAAGTTTGTAAGCGCTGTCCTGAGTTAAGAATGCTTTCCTGAATCAAAGAATAAATGCACAACTTGTTATGTCATGTTTGATACTGCACAGTTTCTGGGATGCTCTGCATTACCAGCAGTATGCCACAGCGGTATATTACATTATCTATTAAATCATTTTGTTATGCTGCTGTTTTTAAAAACAGGCACAGGAAGAGATTTCCCGACTTCGTCAGGAAGTTATCAAATGCCCCAGGACTCCTAAAAGTACTGTGGCAGCTCAAGCTGTGTTAACACATGTGGAGATAGACAGGGATACAGCACTGTCAGATTTCCGAAGGATGACTACAGAACGTGATAGCCTCAAGGAGCAGTTAAAGGTTTGATTCCCCCTCCCCCAGGTTATTTTAACATGAAAACTACTTAGTATTGTAATTAAAGTTGCTAAAGATTTATATTCTAATCCTGAGAGTTATTTGCATTATATGTCTGTGGTGAGTTCAGACTTTTCCTATCTGTGATTTTATTGTTGTTGTTGTTATCTGATACAGATTTCTTAAGAGACAGCATTTAATGAAAAGGCTCATTTGGAACAGAGAATTGAAGAGTTAGAAACTATTATTCAAAATGTAAGGGAAAATAATTATTTGTGGGATTGTAAATGTAATACAGGTGATGTTCATGGCTAATCCTGCAGGAGCAACCTGACTGCTTTCTATCAGGAAACAAGTAGTGGATGTTATTTACCAAGACTGTAGCAAGGCTTTTGACACTGTTACGCACAGTGTTCTTGTATCCACCTTATGATATTAAGGTTTGGATGGGTGGGCAGCTAGATGAGGAAAAATTTAATTGGATGGTCAGTCTTACCAGGTAGCAGTTAATGTGGCCTGGAGACTGCACCAAAGGGGTTTTAGAATTCTGAGGCCTGTCCTGTTTAGTATCTTCATCAGTGACCTGAAGGAGGCAACAAAATAATGCTTGTAAAGTTTGCAGATTTACACCAAATCAGGGAAGACTGTTGATATACTCAAGAGCAGGGCTGTCACCCACAGGGACCAAGACAGGTAGGAAAAATGGACAACAGGAACCTTATGAAGTCCAACAAGCATGAATGCCAAGCCCTGAATTTGGAAGGAAAAGCCATTGGAACCAATACAGGTTGGGGACCAATGGCTTTGGGAGCAACTCTACTGAAAACTCAGGCCCTGGAGTACAACAGTCTGCACATGAGCCAGCAGTATGCCATGGTGGCAGAGGAAGCACGAGTGCACTAGGCTGTGTGAACAGCACACAGCCAGTAGCTCAAGGGAGCTGGCTGTCCACTTTTACTGAGCACTCATTAAACCACATCTGGAATACACTGCATCCAGTTTTGCCACCAGAGTACAAGAAACACATTGCCAAATTGGTGTGAGTTAAATGGAGGGCTCCCACGATACTTGGGGCTGGAACACTTTCCCTATGAGAGGATGCTGGTGGAACTCAAGTGAAGGTGGCTTAAGGAGGATCTAAGTCCTACCTGCCAGTACTCTTTAAGAAGTCAGAAACAGACTTTTCACAGCAGTGCATGGATGGATGGAAGGATGGTGAAAGGATGAGCAACAATGGGCATCAGTTGAAACAAGAAGAATTCAGGCTGGATACAGGAAATACGTCTTTCCCAGGGGGACAATCAAGCAGTCCCCAGCCCTGGAGATTTTCAAGACCAAACTGGACAAAGCCCTGAGCAAGTTGACCTCAGAGCTGGCTCTGCTTTGATCAGGAGTTTATACTAGAGACTCCTGGAGTCCATTCCAATCTGAGTTATTTTGTGATTGTATACCATTAAGACCTGATGCTCTAAGCCCAAATATAATTGTAATGTTCTGGCAAGTCCTTTTTAATACAGTGTATTGTGTTTGCGTGGCCAGGTTTTGTTAGGAGGGGGCTATAGGTGTGGCTTCTGTGAGAAGCTGCCAGAAGCTTCCCCTGTGTCCCACAGAGCCAATGCCAGACTGCTCCAGGAT